ACTGTCACCCCTTAGTGCTAGTTCTGTTCATTGAGGCCATATAGGAGTTTGTTCTTTTATTTTTTTATCATAAGCCTGATGACCTTGGCCTCTGAGTATTTTCTTATTCGGGCCAGACACTCTCATCCCTACTCATGACCTTTGGACTTGATGCTGGGTGTTTTTTTTAATAATGTGGGTAACTCAGAGTTCAGAAGTTCAGAGTTGTGTTCTTGCAGTGGTAGGCGGAGGTTTAGTTATTGTTGTCACAATATAATTGTAGTTTGTTCATTCTTATTGCATTTTGTGTAAGTATATACCACAGTATATTCAACCATTGTGTTCACAGTAGGCGTTTGGGTAGTTTTCGGTTAGTTCTTTTTTTTTTTTTTTTTAAGAATTTTTATTTATTTATTTGACAGAGAGAGAGAGAGCACAAGCAGGAGGAGTAGCAAGTAGAGGGAGAGGGAGAAGCAGGCTCCCTGCCGAGCGAGGAGCCAGATGTGGGGCAACACAAGTTCCTCTTGATAGTCCTGGTCCCCCAGGGTTGATGATGGCAGAGTGGATGGGGTGTGTTGGGATAGATTCCTGGGCTGTCTCTGGCCTACCCAGTGGGACTCCTGGTCCCCCTGGGTGTTGCATGGATCAGTAGGTTGGTGGGCTGGGTTTGGGCCTAAACCTTTCCTGGGAAAGCTAACTGGGCTGGATTGTGTCTTCAGCCCCCTGAGCTTCGCAGGCATCTTGTGTATTCGTGGTCCATTCCTGCCCCACCTCCTAATTTCGGTCTCTCTAGGGAACAGACACGGTCTCCTGGTGCCCAACAACACCACTGACCAGGAACTGCAGCACATTCGCAACTGTCTCCCAGACTCAGTACAGATCCGGCGGGTGGAGGAGCGGCTCTCAGCCCTGGGCAATGTCACCACGTGCAACGACTATGTGGCTTTGGTCCACCCAGACCTGGACAGGGTAAAGTAGCCCAATTTGGCCCAGGAGTCACAGGACCAGCCTAGTCAGTGGTTAGTCACTGTTCTTGCCTATCAGGCAGGACTTAGGGGTGTCTCTTGTGGTTTCTCTTTATACGTGGGCTCTCTCATGTCAGGCATTCATTGGATAGTGGTAATAGAGGCCTTCTATGGTGTGGTCAGTGCCAGAAAGAAGCTGAGGAGGGTATTAATCCTTCAGAATCAGGGAGACAGACCCATCCTGTCCTGCAACCAACGCCAGGAGGGATAATGGACAGTTGAACTCTTAAGTGTGGGAAGAGGGAAGAGAGTGATGTGGAGACCAGTCTGTCTGCTCAGGGCATGCACAGATATTAGGGGCTCCGTAGCGGGTCTAGACCCTGCTCCAAGCTATACTCCCTCATTTTTCTGTGCGAAGCTTCCATACGCAGCTACATAGCAGAGGAATGAGGGGCCTAGGGAGCCAAACCCTGGGTGGTTCTGGGCATGGAGGGCCCTGGGTTTCTTGACCTGCAAGTTCTGGGCTGAGTACCGTGCCTTTGGCTAACAGGAAACAGAAGAAATCCTGGCTGATGTGCTCAAGGTGGAAGTCTTCAGACAGACAGTGGCTGACCAGGTGCTAGTAGGAAGCTACTCTGTCTTCAGCAATCAAGGAGGCCTGGTACATCCCAAGACTTCAATCGAAGACCAAGATGAGCTGTCCTCTCTTCTTCAGGTCCCCCTTGTGGTAAGCGTTCCTTTCTCAGACCTCTGCCTCCTGCTGAGGCAGATCCTTTGCCCAGTGTTAGGGATCGGAGTTATTACCCATCACAGTTTGCAGTTGGGTTTGCAGGGCAGGGAGCAGCAGGGTTTGGGGAACGTCCTCATCAGGGAGCGGCAAGACTTTGGCTTTTGGTGCCATGATCCACACTGAGCCATCCCTTGGCAGGCAGGCACTGTGAACCGAGGCAGCGAGGTGATTGCCGCGGGGATGGTGGTGAACGACTGGTGTGCCTTCTGTGGCCTGGACACAACCAGCACAGAGCTGTCAGTGGTGGAGAGTGTCTTCAAGCTGAACGAAGCCCAGCCGAGCACCATTGCTACCAGCATGCGGGATTCCCTCATCGACAGGTGCGTGGGCCTCTCTTCTGCCTTTGGAGGGTAGGGGAAGGAGAAGCCACCTAGAATGGGAGCCACACTGCGTTCATACCGGTAGGTTCTCCTCGTGTGGGAGGGCACACCTGCAGCGCTGCTGAGGGGTCACAGGGCACAGCAGGCAAGCACTGCCTGAGTATCTGCTTATCGCCATCTCTGAAGGCTCAGCTCAGCAAAGCTTCCCTCTGGGCCATCTTATTTTCTCACCATGTTGTTTTTGTTGTCTGTGGCTGCTTGTGTGTCCATGTCCCCAGCCAGCAGCCCAGAGCCTGAGACAAAAAGCTCTTTACAGAGGAAAGGAGGGGAAGCTGCTCTTAGGAACTGAGGAGACCCTAAGGGGCTTGTTGGGGGTGGGGTTGCATCAGAATCACAGTCATCTGGATTTTTATGGGTTTAAGAGAAAAGTGGGTTCTTGGGCCCTAACCCTGGAGAGTCTGGGGTGTGAGGCTCTGGAAGAGCAGCAGGTGTGGATATTCACCCTTGAGGGTTCTTCTCAAGGCATGCCACCTCCCAAGTATCACAGGAGTCTTTATGAGGATACGAACCCCATAGTAGAGCAAGCACTCAGTAACAGAGTCCCTGCTTACAACAGGCAAAATTACCCTTCATTCTCCCTTCTTCATTCATTCGTTCACCTGATGTGCATTGAGCCCTGTTCCCTAAGTGTCTCAAGAAGCTCCAGTGAGACACTCTGGTATCCAGAAAGGTTTTGTGGAGGACACATCATTTAGTCTGGACCCTGGGGGAATGAGTAGGTATTTGAATACGCAGAGATGGAGGGGGGCTGGGGGGATGGAGCACTTCAGACAGACCCCGAGATGGGAAAGTATGGCAAGTGTGAAGGGGAAAGGTTACATTGCCGGAGTGTCAAAGACCCTAAATGCCCACATCAAGAAGTTTTGACTGTAGGCCTATGATTTTGACCTTTAGTCTCTGTTGAGCTGCTTGTTAATGTAGATTCCTGGCATCACCCCTCACTTACTGATTGCCTCGGTCTGGAGTGAGACCCAACCATGTGTGGTTTATTTTAATAAGTTTCTCTGGGTGATGCTGATGGGGAATCAGCACTGGGAGAGCAACTGAAAGGGTCTGAATGGGAAAGTGATACCAGTGGTTTTGTCATTTGTTCAGTAACTTTTTTTGAACATCTACTATGCCATTCATGATAGTGATGAGTAAAATACACCCTCCCTGCCCTTGTGGAACATAGAATCTTACAAAGAAGACAGTATGTACACAATCATTTAATTAAAGAACAAAATTTAAAACCTCTTAGCAGCCTAAGAACAGAAAGAAATTTCTGCAACCTGATAATTGGTACCTACTAAAAAACTACAGCAAATGTTGTATTTAATGGTGAAACTTTAGAAGCTGCTCTTAAAGTCAGGCAGAATTGTCCACAGTCCCCAGCACGGGTCAGCCTCTGGTGGTCCAAGCTCATGCAGTTAGGTAAGGTAAAGAAGTGGGTATTAGAAAGGAAGAGCCAAAACTCATTGACCTCCTTTGGTTTTGAACCCGTTGATTCGAGGTGCCCGTCAGAGCTCATGATGACAGGGTCAGGTAGGTGATTAGAAATAGGTTTTCTAGTTTTACAATTGTACACATAATTATTACCTCCAGGAAGAATGTTCTGGCCCTATTCCTGCCACTGGGGGATTTGTGGTCTGGGCATGTTCCTTCTCTTGAATCCCCTTACTCCCTTCTCTGATGTTTGTTGGACTTGACTTCTGAGGTTCTGGTTTATGATGGATAAGTTTGAATAAATTTTGAGTTGAGTGGCGAAGGAGTTACTTTTAGTTTTTAAGCACTGAGAGTCCTAGACTGGATTGTGACTCAAGGAAGCAGTGTAATCTGGGGGTGGGGGGCTCTGAGTGTGGCTCTTTAGGGCTGAGCTGGAACAAAGGGGTAAGGGTGGAGGCAGACATCTTAAGAATAAAGGGTGAGGTGTGCTCTGAGAAGCACGTACTGACAGTGTTTCTTCTTCTCTCCCTAGCCTCACCTGAGTCTCCTTCCATGCTGTTCTGTGGGCTCCTGGCTCTGGACTTTGGCTCCCTCCATGCCCCACCCAGTCTGTTTTGGATGCTGGCAGGGAGTTGGCAGAGAGCTCACTGGGACTGAGTGGCTGGATGCCCAGCGTTTCACCTGTGCCCATCTCCTGAATCTACAGTTACTGCAAAAATCTGCCATGTTGTGCTGTCAGGCCTTAAGGGCTCCTGACTGACTGCTCTGTTTGCTGTACCACCCCCCCCCCATTAAAGGGCAGCTGCCTCTGGTTATTCTTGAATGTGTTGTTTGGGGGCCTCTGCCTGCAACCCTCCTTCCCTAGCATTGTTCTGGGGGAAAGTGGGTAGGATGCACACACACACGTCAGTTTCACAATCTCCCACCCTCCAACCCCCATGATCAGGATGGGTGGCTTCCTCCCAGGGCAAGAGGAAGAAGCTCTACTGTAGTTCTCGCATTTTCCACACAACTTAAGCCTCATACTTACGGGCTTAAAGGGATAAGAATCTGTTCCAGCTCTCCGCTGGGCCGGTATGAAGACCTATAAGGGGTCTGAGGCACCTGGCTACACGGCGGTCTTGTCTCCTTGGACCGAGGTGGACGGAGGTCGCTAGCCTGGCTGCCAGGTGCCCTGGACATCCTCAAAACAACTTCCCTTAGTAGCTTCAGTCGGTGTGGGAAGAAGCATCCAGCGGAGTCGTTTGTGTTCCCGGGTTGTGTGCGGGGCGGGGCCCGGGACGTTGGAGCGGCATTGGCCGGTGGCTGGTGGGTGGGGTCGGGTCTGTCGGGCCCGCCCCCGGGGTCTGAAGCTGCGCCGCGGCGGCCGGGAGGCGGGGCCGGGGGGGGGGGCAGGCGCGCGGTGAGGTCACGACGCCAGCCCCTCCCGGCGTCGCTACGCTGACCAGCGGAGCGCAGACGCCGGCGCTGGGATTCTGGAGACCCGCGGCTCCGGCGGCGCGAGGTGAGGGCCGGGCTGGAGCGGGGCGGGGAGCCTGGGTGGCTTGCGGCTGGCCCACACCTGACGGCCTCTCTTTGCAGACCATGGGCGCTCGGCTGAGCGGCGGTCAGGGCGCCCCGGAGCAGGTGCAGCCCCAGCCCCAACCTCAACCCCAACCCCAACCCCAGCCCGGGGCGCCCGAGGCCCCTGAGCGGCCCCAGCCTGAACCTGGTCCCTGGGGGCCGCTGGACGATGTTCGCTTCCTCATCGCCTGCACCTCCTGGTACTGACAAGCCGCCCTCCGCAGTTACTGCTCGCCGCCAACTGTCGTTCTGTCCGCCTCACCTGGTTCGTCTCTTGTGGTCTCTTTCCATCCCCGGTGCCCAGGAGACGCTCGGAGAGTCGGGGAGGTCACGGAGGACCATGAATGGGGCACCGGCTCGCCTCTAGCTGCTCCTTGTTCGCCTCTCAGCCTGCACCCAAACCAGCTCAAACCTTCGTGCTCACCCCCACCCCGTAGCTTCTTAAGCGGTCTGGGTCCTGGGGCAGCCCTCCCCGGCCCTGGGTTCCAAAACCATGCCAGGACTCCTGGTAAGACCCCAAGACTGCTGACCTGACCTCCTCTCGTCTGTCCCTTATTGCTGAGAACCGGGCTTTTGCTTTAGTCTTTGGTTATGGCGCCATGTGTCTTGGCTTCAGAGAAGACCTAGCCATGGTAACCCTCCCCATACTCCTCCTAAGAGAGGTTGCTCTGTCATCCTGGATCTCAGTGAGGCATAAGCAGGCTGTGTTCCAGGAACCCCAGTAACACTGGGCCTCCAGGGCCAGCCTTTTGGAGAGAGGAGACGTGATTGCTGGGCTGGGAGATGAGATGCATGGGACAGTTCCCAGACACCCCAAAGCCCCTTGTTCCCCTTCTCCCAGAAGCTTCTGAAGGCCACTCCCAGAACCTGATTCTTGTTCCCATAATCCAGGGAAACAACACACTCTGTATTTTTGTTTTATTTAGAAATGATTTAAAAAACATTATACAAAGGCTGATCAGTTTAAAATGTGACCGACACTGAAATGCTGTGATGTTCCCCAGGCCGAGGGAAGCTGGGCTCTGGGGTCCCCAGTGCTGTGCCCCTCTGTCTGCCCGCCCTGTCCTGGGGTGATGGACAAACAGATGACCACCAGACAGGAGAATCCGAGATTGGAAGCCTCCAGGCTGAGCCCTCTCCGGGCCTGGCCCTGTATCCCTCACATCTGCAGCCTGTGCTGGCCTCCATCTCTTGCTCTTTCTCAGCTGGCCTCGGTAGTCCCAGGAGCCAGTAGGGAGCCTGGGGAGCCTAGAGCTTTCAAGAAGTGAGAGCACCAACCTGAGGAGTGGAGAGGGACCTAGAAGGGGAGAAGGGAGGCCAGGAAGAGATGGATAAAAGAGACCCTTCTGATCTCATCTTGGACCCTAGAGGTGTCCATAGGTGGGGACCCAAGGCCCAGCCAGCCCACCCGATGGCCTGGGCAAGAAACAACCTCTCTGTGCTTCATTGGAGGGCACGGTGAAAGGTACCTTAGGCTTCCCAGGGCCTACACAAGTTTCATGTGAGTGGACAGGTATGAGCTAATAAAGTGCTTTGCAAAGTATAAAACACTATACAAACCTATGAATCACTAATATCTCTGCAGTTGTTCCCCACCCGCCCCAGGGAGCCCGCCCTTGGCCAAAATGAGAAAAAACAGAAGGATGATGACAGGGAACACAGTGGACCCACATAGGTGCCTCTGGGACAAGAGAGATTTTGCTCAAGACAGCTCCCAGGGCAACAGTAGTCCCTGTCTGCTACAGGTTAGGCCAACCCAAAGCCTAGCGGCCACAGGGAAGGGGCAAGGCCCATGCAGGCTCAGAGGGCCAGGATGGCATCTGAGGCTCTGCCAGCACCCTGAGGACTGATACCTCCTTTTGGCTTTGGCAGAGAGCCAGTGGGCACCACTGAACCCACTGGTCTTGCCTAGGGCTCTTCAGCGACAAAGGGGGCTGCCTCTACCAAGTTGAAGAGAGGCAAGCTGAGCCCTAGGAATTCCTGCCAGAGACAGTGAAGGGTGGGCCCCTAGCATTGGGACCACTACCAGTTGGGGGTTCCCTTTTCCAAAGAGCAGTGCAGGATGATGGGCCCAGTGAGCTGGGTTAGCAAGGGCCAAGCTTGTTATAAACACTGCTTCCAGGCTAAGAGATTGAGTTGGCCTCAGGGTAGCTGGGGGTGTGGGCTCTGAACACTTCAGAAGGCTGCCCTGGGCCCATTACCCCAAAGCCATGAGAATGTTGGCCTGGAGCCATTTCTGCTGCACCTAACGCACCTAACATCAGGCTGAGCCCCAGACCATAAGCCACAGGGCCGGGGACTGGGGGAGTGGGGGAGAGGGGCAGGGGAGTGGAGGATGGTCATAACTCAGATCAGCCTCCAGAAATAGGGTCAGCTCCTGCCCCAGCCCTTTAGCATCATGAGCAGAATCCAGCTCCTGGGGTGTCTGGGCGCTAGAGTGGTCTTAGCAGCACCTTGGTCCTTATCTCCTGGGGAAGGGCCGGCCACGCTGGCCTCACCACCAAGATAGTCACCTCTAATTCACCTAACGCCTCAAGCAGCCTTTGCAGAATGGGACTTTTAAAACAGTAGTGACAGGACATTTAAATATTCACGATGTGACAGCTGGGTCCTTGTCAGACCCAGCTGGGCCACAGCACTGCCTGCAACATGTGACCCTAAATCCTAGGTCTCAGACGAGACCCTGATGTGTGGAGCGGGTTTCCTGAGGGATCTGCTGCATGCCAGCAGGGGAAACCCAGGCTTGTTGCCTACCATGTTGGCAGCAGGGGTCTTGTAGCCTTGGAGGACAGTGGAGTGGGGGTAGGGGCGGGGGGACATCTGACCAGCAGGTGTTGGCAAAGGGGGACCAGGATTGGTGGCATCTCCCAGATGGGGCTGAGAGTGCTAGTGCTGGCTTCCACAGAAGGTGCTGGGTCCAGCCAGGAACGGAGCTGTGGTGCCTCATTGATACCACAGGATTCAGTGACCACAGGACCTCCTCCTGGCATGGTCCCTGCCTCCTGATGGGGCCTGACCTATCCCCTTGGGTAGGGAGCAGTTTACCCAGGACAGAAGGCTGGCAGCTGGGGTGCCAGACACCCACCCTGGGGCACAGCCACCATCACTCCCTGCCCCACGCTCAGCCTAGGCCAATGTACCTACCACTTCAGCTGCATGACCACCGGCCTAGGGCCCTGCTGGCCCCAGTAGGCAGTGGCCAGAGTGGCCCCTCAGACCCTGATGAGGAAGGGCCTGGCTGGCCAGACCGAGTGGACGGAAAGGGCTCTGGGCTGTTCACACCCACTCCTGGACTGGCCGCTTATAGTAGGTGACAGGCTGAGGGCCTGCCTTGTTCTTGAACTGGAAGATGGTGTAGACCAGCACCAGGATGCAGAGGGACAGGATGCAGGGGATGACCACAGCCACGGCGTTCACAGAGCCTGGCACATCGTTGATAGTCACCATGATGTCCACATCGTCCTGGGGCAGCCGCCGCTCTTTCCGCCGCTCCACGTCCTTCTGGTTGCAGCCCATCCAATCACGCAGGATGTTGCGTGGGTAGCCTGGCTCTACACTTAGTTTCTGGTTGTCAAACTTCCAGTAGTCCCGGCCCTTGTAGAAGTAGGTGTAATCTGCAGAAACATGGCCCAGCATCACCACTCCCAGACACCTGCTCTGACCCCTTGTGAGAGGGCAGCATGGAGGAAGGGCACCTCTCCCACCCTGGAGTCCAAGAGGAGCTCTGAAGGAGGGGTGGGCATATGAGGGGGTGGGAGCGGTGCGTTGGAAGGCTTTGAGGTGGGGGGAGGGCAGTGCTTGGCACACTGCGCACAGTGTGGCAGGGTCACGGAATATGGTCTGCACAGTGGCAGAGAGGTGCTCCCAGGACCTGGAGCAGCCTAGCCTGTCAGCTCAAAGGTGCTGGGAAGCTACTGAGGGGCTTGAAGTAGACAAGTCCCAATTTGTGCCTCCCTGCCTTAGCTTGGGGTCACAGCTCCATCACACTTGCCTTTGCCATCCCCCCACCATGGGTGCGATCACCTCCCCTACTCTGGCTTGGACAGCACCGCCTTCATAGCTCTAGAGCCTCAGTCAAGCTCCTGCTTGAGGCAAGGGAGGCAGGGAGCAAGATTTCTCCTTTTGTTGACAGCGGACATCAGCTTGTCACAGCTATCATGGATTTTCTTCAGCTTGTCACACATGACAACACAGATGCAGGGTCTCTGGGACCCTGCTGGGGAAGGGCCTGGAAAGAAAGGAGGTGGAGGGGCTGGGCAGCCACAGCGGACTCCCGGGCTCCCGGCAACAGCCTTCACGGTAGAGACAGCAAAGCAGCTCACTCAGACCCTCCTATTGACCAGCCCCCCACCCTGGGACTTTCATTGGCCAAAGTCCTTGATGTCACCTGTCTCTGAGCCTCCCAGAAAGCGAGACCACATGTGTAAAGCATCAGGTACACAGGAAAGCTACCAAGTAGCGGCTCTGCCCCTGAGACTTTTGGATTTCATACCAGTGACATGGAGAGCCCTTCACGAAGATGCTCTCTGATGCGCCCTCCTCCACTCCCCACCCCCAGCTCTCCCACTACATTCCCTTCCTTTAGAGCATTTGCTGCCACCTTAGCTGTTTTCTGCCTCTAGACTGGGAGCCAGGGATGCAATGCAAGGCTTGTTCTCTGCTCCTTCCCCAGCTCTCCCACAAAGGCTGGCTAGTAATTATTGTGGAGTGACCCAACGACTCCTGTCATTCTACATAACAAAACACACCAACAAGATGTTGATAATGGCAATGACGATAGCCCCTAGAACACATGTGGCAGGACCATGTACTAGGTGTTTGTCTAAGTGCTCTACTTAATTTATCTCATTTAATTCTTAACAATTGCCAATGAGGTAGGTACCATTATTATCCCCATTTGATAGATGAGGATGCTGGGAAAACTGAGGTGGTTTGCCCAAACTCCTAGTAGGTGGTGGAGGTGGGCCATGAAGCCAGCCAGGCTCCAGAGTCTGTGCTTGTGACCAGATCAGGGGAAATGTATTTAGCAAACATTCATGGACTCCCACTCCGCACCTGGCAACACCCAGCCCCTCCTCTTGAGAAGCTCCTAGTCTGGTGGGAAGCTCCCCGCCTGGCCTCCAGGAGGAGCTTTGGAAATGTCTCATAAATAAAAAAGGCTTCTCTTTCCATCTGTCTGCCCTCAAGCCTTATACACAAGCACTTTTGAAAGCACCCATATCCATCATTGCTTTTCAGGTTTGATAACTCAAGGAACCCCTAGAGTACATCTGAGGACCACTATTTGAGAAATGCTGTCCGAAGGGATGAAGTCAGTCTGTGGAAACATCTCTCAAATGTGAGTCATCCCTGCAGATGAGAAGTGTGGCTTGGTAGCTGGGAAGAGAATGAATCGACTGTGTGAACCTGGGTAGATATGAGGCCGTTGTCCTTACCATCAGGCACTTTTCTCAAATCTGGGTACCCTGAGAGTATGCCCATGGGCCCTGTTGAGACCCACATAAAATCAGCCACCCCCTACACAGCCAGGCTCTTACGTACATCCTTCCTTGCTGATGAAGGCCCCCTGGGGAGCCTGTGGGATGCCCTTCCACACAGTGATGGGCTTGGGGTAGCCAGGGTCCGTGGCCCGCCGCTCCTCACTGTAGCGCCAGTACCGTTCACCTTTGAAAAAGTAGGTCTTGCCCACGGGTTCCCAGCGCAGAGCCGTATCAATGCCTTCTCGGGGCAGACAGCTCCCCAGCTCCCCTAGGCTGTGGGGGTACCCAGGCTCCACCGTCACCTCCTTAAACACCCAGTACTTGTCACCTGTAGCCAAGAGAAGCCCAGGATCAGCCTTCCCCAGTCACACGGTGCCAGAGGTGGTGGCTAGTGCCACGGGTCCCATCTTCTAGGACTGAAGTCATTCATAGAGCCACAGTGTCAGGGGGAAACAACCGAGGCCTGCTTGAGGGCCTCTGTGGGAGACTGAGGCCCCTTGGCCCCGGCAGAGCATGGGGGCCAGAAGCCAGTCACTACAGATCCTGGGCAGCTGGCCCCATGCTGCCCAGCCTCCGTGCCTCACCACGCTGTTGCTCCTCTCCTCTGGGGTGTCCTCAGTCACTCCTGTGGCTTCACACTATTAGGACTCCTTCACCTTCCACCAGTGACACCCAACTCTGCGGGCTCACAGCCACTACCATGGGACCTGAGCCCCAGACCCAGGAACCCTGATCCCGGCCTCTGGGCATTTCCACATCTGCTTCCCAGAGTTCCTCATCACCGCCTTAGGGGGCTCCCTCCCTGTCACCTTTCTGCCTCCCACTTCCCCAACTAGAAGCCCTAGCGTCACCTTTGACTCTCCCTTTCTTCCTCCTCTCTGGGTTCAGCCTCTTATGAAGCCTTTTGCATCTTTTAGCTGTCCCCCTCTGGCCTCACTGGCCCTCCCCGGTGTGGGCCTCACTGATTCGCTCACCCCCCACCCCCGCCTCCGGCAACTGACTCACAAATAGCCTCCCCACCTCTGCCAGTCCAATAGGACTGCCGCCTGCCCTCTGGCTC